AGGGACAGAGGTTGCGTGCAGGGACCTGCAGGAAGCAGGATTCGATGTCCCGGGCAGCAGTCCGCTTGACAAGGCTGCCAGACTAACATTTCTCAGCGGCACAGGACCCTCCTCCCTCGGCTATGAAATGTCAGGCTTTGGCACCTGCGGCGTACCTCCGTACTGCTCTGCAATGACAGCCAGGCTCTCTCAAGTGTCACCAGTGAGCCAGTCCCCAATTAACGGTGCAGGTTTGTGAGTTTCTGACACTGTTCTTAAAGCTCCTGCAGGCTGCTGCAGCCTACAAGCCACGGATCATTTCTGCCTTGCAAGGCTCAAAGGAGAGGAAGGGAAAAGGGCTAAGAAGTAAAAGCTATGGTTTCATTATTCCATGCTAGCAGGATAACAGAATACGTTTCCTTTCGTACTAAAATGTGTCATTTGAGCAAAGATCATGCTGTCTGATCAAGCTCTCCATTAGTTATTTTTGCATGTGCATGCACAAATCCAGCAGCTAAGCCTACAGCACTGCTGTATATTGGAAACCAGAAAATGCTGCAGGGTGTTTCTAAAGAATAGCAATTTGGAGGTTGTGGGTGGTTTGTGGGTGTAATAAAAAAGGCTTCATACCGAGGCATGTGAATTAAGCTTCTCTTTAGGCTGCTTACAGTCTCTATCAAGATTGTTAAGAACCTGATTCTGCCATCCTTACCCTCACCTGGTAGCATTTTCTCCTGTGAGCAATTTCATTTAAGTGCCACCCGTTGTATCAAGGGCCCTAACACAGAGGCTGAGAATCCAGCGTGGCTGAACACAAGTGGAAAAACACCAAGCTTTACTGTACTTACTGATGCTCCCTATATTTTTAGCAACTCCTGAAAGCTGAGATCAGTTGGTCACCAAACCGTGGCGCACAGGGGACATGTCGTCTCACCATATTGCCCACGACGCTCACCACTTTGCTCTCCCTCACACAGCTCACCCAGAGTCTCCAAGACCCCCATGGTCACCATCAACAGAGAGTGCAAACCATGCAGTTGCCCTGCGGACACTTGCCATCTTATGCTGTCACACTCTGTACCATGCTGGAGCATTGGCTTCAATGCCCTGCAGCCCCTGGGGACTTTCTCCCTCTGGCACCCACGGTGGTCAGCCACAGCCACCACCACCTCAGGACCCTCAGTATCTCTTATCTTCCTGGTTGGGTTTTTGTTTTGTTTCATTCTGGGGGGTTTCTCAGTCTGGCTGGGGAGGTTGTTTTGCAAAACTCCCTCCTTTTTCACCTGAGGCTCCTTTTTCTTGCTTGGCTTGAGGGACACCAGGGCAGGCAGACTTCTGCCAAGCTGGTGGCTTGTGCCTTGTGGGCAGCCAGCCCTGTCCTACAGGCAGCTGACTCCAGCCTCGCCTAATCTGGTTGATCAGTTACTGCAGAGTTAAAAAAACCCCACCAGTCCTTGTGCTCCCTGGAGCTGAAGTTTTGCCCGGCTTTTAACTGCAGTAATAGCAAGCTTTATAGCCTCAGGGCTCCCACTACGCATCAGTGCTGGAGCAGCGCAGAAGCCTGAACCGTTATTCCAAGAGCACGCCTAGCAAGTTCCCCAGGTCTTTTATAGCCCTTATTTTGCTAATGGAAAGTTAACCATTGGCTTGAAACTGTGCAAAAATGTTAAGGGAAAGAATCACAAGATCACAGGAAGAACTCTAATGTGTTTCCTACTACGTTCCTTTCATTTGCCTCTGCAGTTCACAGCTCTAAGTACCTTGGGGTGAAATGTGTCTGAGCATTTCAACACCTAGCAAATATTAACTACCTCAGAGCAGGCTCAAACAAGCAGGATGGGGGGGGGGGGGGGGCATGTGCCTTTGTGCTGCAGCCTGTTAAGTTGGGAATGCAAGGTCTGTGAAATAGCCACTTTTACATTCTGCCCTTCATGTCTGTAATCCTGTGGAAGACCAGCATGGAACGGAGTAATGCCACAAAAGCACTCACAGCACCTAAGGACCCTTCAGTGCTTGACAAACATTACTTCATTAAGCTTTCTGATGCCCTTCCAAGGTAGTTCTGGCATTGTTATTCCTTCCTGCTTTCAGAAATGGGGAAATCTGGGATTCTCAGTGAGCAGCACAGAGCCAACTGACTTGTGACGTCCCTCTGGACTTCTGATCCGTGGTGTAGAGGAGCCCACCTTCGTCCTCTAGCTAAAGATGCTGCTAGCTGAGCTGTTTGCAAGGGCGGGGGGGGGGTGTGTGTGTGTGTAAAAGAGCATGTGTTCAATAACACTGAACACTTTCCTCTCTGAAATCTACTTTTCTTGCTCAGAAGCAATATTGTGTTGATTGCCTTTCATAAGCAAACACAATATCGTGAATGGCAACCCCTGTGTGAGGAAGCTGAGCAGGTAGGATTACTTACAGGTATGCTCTTTATTATTTCCTTTTGGTCCTTCCCATGGGAACAGTGGACTGGATGGATTTGTACTGATTTTAGTGACCTATTTGGTCAAAGGAAATATGAAAACAAATCTGCAAAGACTTGAAATGTCTTTTTTGGTGGACCAGTGGAACTAGACCTGTGGATCACACCTGATAATGTGTTTGTCTTGCAGTAAAAAGCAAAGTCTCTTTTCTCCCAAGCAGTATTTTCTAACCAGGAATGACATGCAGCTGGCTAAAAATACATATGGCAAAGAGAGAGAAAAATAAAATTCTGGTGTTTATAGAGCATGAGCAAGTGGAGACTGTAGAACTGTTACATGCCTGTTGATAATTTATCTGTGATATTAGGGGCTTTTGGGGTGTTTTTAGAGAATATAATCTGGCCACCCATAGAGAACAAACTCAAACCATAGCAGGCGGGCTTGTTTGCCTCACAGCGATGCAGCTGTGCTCTTTAAGGAGCAGCATCCCACAGGAATATAGCCCACAAAGCAAAACAGGCTGGTCTTTTTCTTTCCTCAGATTTGAGCTGCTTGAACAAGTAGGGGGAAGAACATTACAGGAAGAAGTGTGCTAGAGACAGGGTACTGCACACCACTCTTCAACATCCAGAGCCATGGGTCGGTGTATGACAGGCTGCAGGTGGAGATGCTCCAGCGTACAGCATCCTTGTGCCACCATTGCAGCCCCTGTTTGTAGTCATATATCTGCCCACAACTTCTTTTACTATGTGTCCAGTGAGATGTTTGTAAGTGACGCAGCAAAGCCTCTGTGGCTTTGCCAGCTGTACCTCCTTCAGGCAACCAGTTTTCTATCTACAACATACAATATGGAAGAGTTGCTTCAGTATGTTTGCATTTCAGCTTGCTTGCTTTACTGATTTAGTATAAATTACACTGATTTCTAGCAAACCCAAACGCTTACAAAATTAATGAGGCAAGAAAAGAGTACTATACATAAATGCCAGGGAGCAACCTGTGCTTCTGCCATTTATGGTTGTATTTCACTGTATTATGAAAGCTCCCGTTGAGGCACAAACTTCTCCATGCTGTACAAGTTTTAAGACCCTAATAAAAATAAGAATGAATACAGTGGCCAAGAACTAGACACTTAAACAAACTGAAACGAAGCACATACATACTCTCAAAAGAGTAATTATCTACTCTGTGCTGCTGTGCTCCTGTCTCTTTGGTGAATCATGCAAGGTGGCATGAGAGCAATTGTCTTACTCTCTTGCTGGATTTCATGGCAGCCTCCCCAGATAAGACTTCAAAGAAACAATTAATGGGAAGCTTATCCCTATGAGGGCTTTATTTGCTGCTGAACGCCAGGCTTTGTCACTGTTCTAAGTCAGCGGAGCCTCTCCCAGGGCATGATGGTGTGGTTAGGTGCAGGCTTGCAGGCTCACAGGCCACTGCCCATGTCCCGAGCCAGACAGAGTGGAGCCAGCTGCAGTTCAGAAGCTGCATTAACTTGGATCCCAGCCCTATAAAGTATCTGATTTGTTGGCCAGCTGTTTTTCAGGATCACAACTAGTTTCCTTATGTGGTCTAAGGGTTTGAAGGTAGTTCCTCATACTTTAGTGCTCTGTGTGCCTCTGCAACAATTGCTCCTGGAGAACATCAGTGTCTTTCTGCAACACATCTTCTGTTGTTCAAGATCTGATGAAGACAGATGTCTATAATCCATTCTGCCTGTACAAAACATCGATAAACACATTAAGTACCTGCTGGTTCATTCCTGTCAGTAGCAGCCAGCTTCTGCTAGGGACCAGCCTGACCAACACTGCATAACATACTCTTTCCATAGGTCATGAATCAGACCTGTGTTAAGGGAGCTTTTATCTTGGACCTAAACAGTAAATGACTTCCCTCATTTCTAAGATCAATACAAAATCATGATTATGACTCCAGAAACCATTTATCTGGCTGAGACATACCAAAACCTACAAGTGGTACAAATCCACACCACCCTCTCATAAGAGCTCCCTAAGAAGGAGGCAGCTCAGATGTGCTGGCCCTGGGTTACCTGACTAGCCAAGAATGGGAAAATACCTCTTGGTTCATAGCTTTATTTCTTGGTTTTCTTCCAGCTGCTGCGGTGCTGGCTAAAGAGGCTGCTGTCCTTCACATGCCATGACTGCCACCTCCAACCCACCAGTGCAAGGCATCAGGTGGGTCCTCTTGAATCTCTTTCCATCCAAAGGACCTGAAGTATCAAGAGCTGCTGAGCAGAGTCGTCAGCTGGTTGTAACTGAGAAATAGTGAGAAGCTACTGCTCTGGGAGGCCTGTAGCCTTTGGCATTGGAGAACACATCTGTGATGGGAGATCCAAGCTATATGGATGCACAAGATACAGCTGGTGTTTATGGGACTGTGGTTTTCAGCTGAGAAATGCACCAGACCCAAGGTAGCTCTTTGCACTCTGCTTCACTGTTGGCAAAAAGATTCTTGGATCAAGCAAGGTTTGGATCTAAAGAAACCTGGTCTGACAAACCATAGCTACTTTTTAATTATGTCCTCCTTGTCCCAGCTTTCTAGAGGTTTTTGTCTTCTGTTTTATGGTAAAGTGTCAATGTTGCTGCACAGTAGGTGCACCTACCTTCGGATTTAAGTTGTTCTCATCTCATAATTACATCCCAGAGGAAATGCTAACCATACTAGAAACAAACACAAGAGAACAGTCACTCTTCCAGGTCTGCCATGCGCTCTGACAGAAAGAGGCCTCTGTGGGTGCTCAGTCACCCCAGAGCCCAAACTGTCCCTCTGATCTGATCACAGCTTCCAGCCCTCCTGCTTGAAGACACCTGACCATATTTCTGGCACACGTAACAAGCACAGGGGGAGACCGGTGCTTTACGCTGAGACTAGGTAGTTATGGTACACAGATAGATGAGCTGTTCAAATGCTCCCAGAGGTTTCCTGCAGATGTTTTGCTAATGTCTGACCTGCTGCCTGGGTTCAGACGGGAGGAAATGATTGCAAACGCAGGTGGTGGTTGCTGAATCAGCCTTCCTTGGATTTAGATCATGAGAGGAAATGTTCAGCTCTTCCAGCAGATCTATGCCCAGGTATCCTTCTGAAGTAGAGAAGCATTAATTGCTCAACTAGGGAGGTGTTAATTGGTATGTTGTTACAGCTGCAGCTGACTATTTCAGCCTGTAGTCAAACTGTCCCATGGTGCCTTCTGTCCCTAAGATGGCTTTTAGGGTCTATGCAGGTTGTTACAATACAGAAACCTTTTCCATGGCAAAAAAAATCCATCACAACTACCAGCAGGACAGAAAGTAAGTGAATGCACATTCAGGTTGGCTGATTTGGTTTGGCATGAGGCAGTTAGCCAGCCAGAAGGTAGGTGCACCATGGTGAAGTGAGCTGCACAGATGCTTTGTGAGTCTGTGCCATAACTAAGCTTTCTCAGCTATTTTTTAGCCTTGCTGTTTAAAGATTCTTACAGTAATGGGCTGTTATGAGGTTGAACACATGCATAGGGCTTGCTGCTCGGCCCCCCAGTCCCAGTGTCCTCTGGCTGCCAAGTAACCTGCAAGTTCTGCTTTTGGCATGTTTTCCTTTCCCCTCCAATGTGACTGGAAAGCTGTAATGAGCAGTGCATATCTGAAGTGTTCATTCTGGCCTAATGGTTTCTTAATCCTTAGCAGGCAGGGAGTGGGGGTGACATGCTGATATTACATGAGCAGCAGACAGCTCTGTCCTCAATACCTCAAGGTGCTCTAAATTAATACTGATAAAGCTGGCAGCCTATGTTAATCCTCAACTAAATGCATGAAAACTGATTAATAAAACAAAGCTTCAAGCTCCAGCATCTCCTGCATTCAGGTCACTGACCCTATTTTAAGAAACAGTTTTGTGCTTGTGCATGGTTCCTACTCCTGAGGTGGGGAGGCAGAAATGATAACCAGGGGAACGTACTGGTCTCTGGTGTGGCATGGCTAATCCCAAATTCTTGTCCCCTGTATTTGCCATTACATATCCTTTTTACTAAATCCTTTGCTCATGTCTTATTTAATGTTTCCTGATGTTTCGTACTAATGTTCTCATTATTTAGTAGTGACAAAAGAATATATTTTGTTTCCAGGAGAGCAAAAGCCTTATTTTCTAACTGTGTTTATCTCACTTAGGAGTTTAGTCTAAATGCACTGCTATTAAGACTGCATAAATTTAAGCCAGGAGTGGTTTATTGCATGCTTAAAGTGTATCTCTAATTCGTTTATACTAGTGATTTGGGCAGGAGGTAAAATGCATGTTACTTCTGGATACAATCCAAGGGCTTAGCTATATCTAGTTCAGCTGAAGCTAATGAAATATTTCAGTCCAAGGAGCAAGACCTCTGCTTTAAGGAGCTGCCCTCAATGTGAAGGCAATGGGAGTTCTTTCATTAATGCTTTCAGGGTGTCAGACTTGAGAGGCAGGGGTGGCAGCGTCTTGCTGCTGCTGCTGTGGTCTTACTCCCATAGAACAGTGAGGAAACAATAAATAGCTGTGGGTTTGCTGTATTGCAAGGCCAGCATGTTCATTACACACCCCTTAAGAACTACCCTCATGTTTGACTGCACTGTTGTGATTAAGCTGCAAAGAATTCTGGGATACCACCAGCCTCAGTGCTGGGATTTGCCTTTATCCTTTTAAAACGACTGCTGTTATTACCGTGTTTTTTTCCAGGACAAATTTGGTCAACAGATTGCAGGCTGCTGTCTCATCCCAAACAATTCGAGTTTGTAACCCATCAACATTGGCTGCCTCCATCCACCCCCTGGCTCTTGCCTGTGCCTCTCTCAGGATCAACTGAAGCTTCTGAGCAGATGTGGCACAAGGGACTCTCCAAGGGTTAAATGCAGGAATTTGCTGGCCAGAACTTTATCAGCTGAAGGCCAAGCCTGCCTTTATAAGCTGTTCCCTCAGCAGAGATGCTCTACTTTCTCCTGAAGGCATGCGTTATCCTTGAGCCACTCGAGCTTGGGAATTCACAGCCGTTTTCTTCAGCCTTCACAGGGAACTGTGAGCTGCAATTTGGATCCTCTGCAAAGTCCTCTGAGTACAAAGCCTCACACCAATGGCTAATGCTCACTGCTCGCTCCTGCTGCAGACTGAAGGGTACATTTGCAAGGCACAGAAAGCATTCATCTCCTATGCAGCTTATAGACACCACTTAGCATCCTGGGCTTTGACTTCCATGAGCATTCTTGCTTCAGTGCAAAACCTGTGACAGAAAATTGGATTTCACTGAAGTCTGAGGTGTTCAAAACACTCATTGCTTCTGTCTCACTTGAAAAACAGCTTTCTCTCAGCCCCAAGATATATTATTATCCTTCCCCTGTCACTTCCCCCAAGTTCAGCTACAATAGGAATAAAATTCAGTGGAAGTTGCAAGCACCAGATCATCTTTGTCAAAGATGGCAACAAATCATTATGGAGCAAGTTATATTTAATCAGAGTTTTTCAGAGACTCGCAGGCTGGCTTTTCTGCCCCTCTTCTCTCTCTAAAGTAAAATGAAGCTAATTTCAAAACTGGAGGAGTTTTTGCTTAATCTAGTTTTGGCAGGGCAGCCTGAGCTAAAGCAAAGCCGTGCTGGTCCTTTGATCAAACACAGGAAATTGAGAAACCCAAGGGGTCTGCAACGGAGCGAGGACATCTCCATCTGATGCTGCACAGAGCTTGTACCACAACCTCCTTGGGCGCTGGAGATTTCGCTTTGTGCTGCTGTTCATGGGGACCAGTGCGCAGCCACTTGAGAAAGCTGTGGTGCATCTTGCGTTGCTCTGTCAGAGGTAAAATCTAAATTAAGTTGGAGGAGGTGGTGGGTTTCTAGCCGAGGAGAGGAACATAACCAGCAAGGCTCTGTAGAAGGATTGTAGGACTTGCCAGACGCTTCTTTTTTAAACCTAGAAAATCTGAAAAGCAAATTAATGTGCTCTTTGAGTCATTCTGTGAAACCTGTAGCAAGCTGTGAAATTTTACTCAACGGCTAAACTTCTGTGTAAGTTGTTTGCCTTATTTTTTTCCCATAGAGAGAGGGTGGAAAAGAGAGTGCAGGAAGCTACGAACTGGGAAGGGCTAATGCTGAAAGAGGAAATCTCTGCCAGAGTTGCGTTTCAGTGGAAAATGATGAATTTTTCGTCATTTCAGTGATGCATTTCAGTGGAAAACGATGAAAAGTTTCAGTCCCAGAAAGTTTAAGGGGGTGGGGGCACATGACGCAGCAGTTTTGCATCGGGAAGCTATGTGGGCTGATGAGGGTAGTCATTCAGTACTAACACCTGGTACAAGGGGTACAATGACAAGGACATACAATTCTGTGTGTGTGCTGCATCCTCTGGGAAAACCAGGGCAGTGAAGAAAAAGAGGCTGTGGGTAGAGAAAAATTAACTGATTCATGAGTGGGTTTTCTCTGGTTTATGCTATTTTAGATCAAATCACCACTATAATATTTGGGCTATTTTATCAGATTAAAATTTCGCATGTCGTGATAAGACTTCTGCTAGCATGAGAAACCAGGGGCATGGCACTGAGTCCCGGTGAAGTATCTCCTGTGTTTTCTTGGGATACCAAAACGGGGACCAGAACTAACCCCTAATCCTTTGCTGGTTCCTTACATCCTCTGTGTCTTTACATCCTCCTTTGCTTTCAGGAAACCAGGCTTATCTGAGGCCACTCAAGGTAGAGCTCTCTCAACTGACAAGCTGCCCTCATTTTGTAATTTCTTTCCTTCCCCCAAATCCTTCTTCCACTTTAAATTCACTGCAGGACCAAAGAAACCTCATGTTCTTCACAAACACTTTGTGTGCTTGTTTTGGGGCTAGCACTGACAACAAGTCTGCATCTTCATATCTTCCCAGGGGGCCTGGATGCTATTGCAGGGGAATCTGTGTTACTCAGGCTCCAAAATACCCCAGCCCCAGACCTCCATGTCTTTTTAGGAAATAAAATTGTTTTCAGGGAAAAAAAAATACTCTTTGCTACTGAAGAGTAGCTCAGGGGAAATTTGTCCTCTCAGATCAGCATGCCAGATTGCATCTCACATTTGGGAGCAGCTCAAACACATGGGAGCAGGGTGGGGAACTCTTTTTCATGCAGCACACATGTAACCCTAAAATGCTGGTGTTAGCGTGGCAAGCCAGTAATTGAACCCTTGAAGTTTAAGCTGAGTAAGAATTCAGCAACCCTAGTGACTATTTGAAATGTTTGAGCTGGTCAGATTAATCTGGTATTTTAACCTCCGGACCCCCAAGTTCATGCATGGGTTTTCTAGTACTCGTTATGTCCTATACTGACTGAACACAGCAAATACACAAAGCCCAGCTATTTTGCTGTGTCAGAGCCACAGATATCTGAGATGAAGCAAGACTTGTTCCATATTTTTATGTAAGTAAAATCCAAATCTAGTTTAAAACAAAACAAAAACCAAAAAGAGCAAGAGCTGGAGAATGCCTCTCTTCTTTTTCTTTCTCTTGTTTGTCCTGTTATACTTGTTACTCTGCCTTCCTCCCTTCCTCCATGACATCCACAGGAGTCCAGCTCCTATCCCAGGAGCACAGCAAATCTTTCCTGGCATGATACAGAAACATAGTATCACAGAATTCTTTAAGCCAGATGAAACTGGTTCAGTTTTAAATAAGTCTGTGGAATAATGCTGCTCGGTTAACATAAAACTTTTTTACTATCAATAGCATTGTCCCTTTCTCGTACATCATTGTAGCATTTCTAGCTGTGCATGAGTCTCACCCTTACATATGGAAAAAAAGGAGTTCTTGTAGTAAAAAATGTATCCTATTCCACTTGCATCCTTCAACTTGCTCTAGTAAAAAGCATTAATGTCATAAACATTACATACTGTGGAGTTCAGCCACGTGAGTGGAGGTAATTTGGTTCAGCATACTGACAGCCGTGCTAGAGGGTGCTGAGAACCCAAGGGTTAAAGGATGCTTTTCTTCTGACACCTCTTCTGGAAGGGCCCTCATGTTACACAGGGGCTAGAAAGAAGAAGGGCTTCCCTCTGTAATTTCTCTACTCTAACCCTTTCCCAGGGGTGTGGGAAGAAAACATACCTACATTTTGGGCACCGCCAATGTAGTATGAAACTATTGATTGCCATTTGCCTCACATCAGGACTGTGAACCAGGGTGGCTAAAGGATAGTCATGCAGCTAGGTCTGCTGCCTTTCCTGTGAGAAAAATAGTGTTTGCTAGGATGGCAGTGGGGGTAGGGAATACCCTCAAGCCTTGCATCTAAATCACTTCAGACTTCAGCTTTAATCACTCCTCCAGGGGTCTAAGTAGGAAGTTAAAACAGCTGGAGCCACAGTTCCAGTGGTGTTCCTGAAGGTGATTAGTCT